TATATATATATATATATATGTATATAATATGCGTTTTCCGAACGCGGCAAAATCGTTTTGCGCCCGTAAAGAACTCGTTAGCGCGCATTCCGGGCGATCGCGCGGCTCAGCCGGAACGAAAGTATCGATATACAACTGCAGATTTTGCAACGAGGCGAAAAATATGAGGTGTACGAAATACTTGTTCAATTGCCTGTGTATACCTGTACGCCGAGGAATCTCCGTCGTGCGCGCCGCTACTTAGCGTAAGTAATGATTCCCATTTGATTACGTCACGGCGGCGAGGCGATTCTTACGCGAGGATATTATATAATTTGCGTACGTATAGGTGAGAAATTCATTTGTGACGAGGTCTAGAATGTAAATTAGGAATATAAGTTAGGAATGCGTGAGGGAAGGTGAAAGACTTTTAAAACGCGGGGGTGGACTAGCAATTAATATTTAAATTATACGTAGGTGAGACTTGGGCATCTTTGTGATAATAAATAATTCATTCGTATTACGCGACTCAGGATAGTCTACGTAGAATTTATATAACGGAGGAGGACATTGGCTGATAAAAATTAAAAAAAAGAATCGCCTCACATATCTGCGCTGTATTCACTTTCCACTGATAAGGGATAATCTAGATTTTAACGGGTACGCGATATCTAAAGCCCATAGTCCGACGTGACGTTTAAAGATAAATATACGTGTCCGTCAGTAACGCGACCTGGCTATTATACAGAAGTTAAGTACAATTCAAGGATTCGAGGAGCTGTGCATTCGTGGAGTCGCGTCTTTCCTCGGATCTGACTTCTGCTAGAAAGTATCCCCGTCGAAGCGACTCGCCTCAAAAAACTAGTTAACCCGACGACAAGTTTCCATTTGTGAAAAACGGCGTTCTCCGCGTTGCGGCTCCGCGCAAACCGGTACGCGTGCGTTTCGCGCGCGATCCTCCGCGATCCTCCTGCGCGGATCTCCCTCGAAAACGGAACGTGTGTCGCGTGTCTGGACCCGGTTCGGAATGCGTTCGAAACTCGTGCAAAATGTTCGATGACGACGAGTCGCGTGAGTCGCTGTACGCTCGCGCAGCTGTTCGCTTCGAAACCGACGGGTGGGCGAGCACGATTGGTAGTTCGCGACGCGTACGGAACCAGTTTCCAGCTCGAAACCGGTTTGGAACTGGTTTCCTTCGGTTTTTCGGCCCCCGCGAAAGCCACGCGCAGCCGGCATCCACGAATAGCACTCCGACCGGATTACTCGGCACGATCGCAACATCGTCGGCGCGCTGATTTTCGCCTGGACGATCATGGCCGATAATAAGGAACCGAAAGGTAAGGAAATCGTTTCGGACACGGTACGGACTCGCACGATCCTTTCGAAAAATTTCACGCTCGTCCTCGTCGTCGACTCGCCTTTTCGAAAATGGTACAGATAGGGTGCATTCGAGGAGCTTGCTACCACGCCATCAACGCTACCAACTCTGTTCACCAAGCCAAGATAGTGCTACCGCTTGCTACCGTTTAGAGATCCTTTAATCAAAGTTGCGACAAAGTGGATCAAAAATGATGGATAGAAAGAGATAATAACATTTACTCTTTTTCTCGCATGAATGCATGAGAATAATGAGAAAATGATGTTAGACTAGTGTAAAATATGTGTCTATCTGTCTCTTTCTTTTCTTGTTTTTCATTTCCCGAAAATGTACGAGGCTATTCGAAATAGGTCATAATGGACCAATTAAAAGATCGATCCGCTCATATCAATTATTTGATTAAAAGATCTTTACTATCGCTCTTCGTGGAACTCGTAAATGCTACCTTTACACTATCTTGAAAGCGATAGCATTGATAACCTGAAGTTATGACGTAAAACACTACTGATAGTGACGAGAGTGTCTGATATCAATTAATTAAATTCCCCAAACAGTATTAGTGCTAAATAGTACTGACAGCAAACTCCCCGAATGCACTCCTAATAAGTAAGTTAAAGCGCAGTTGACTATCGTGACGCGGGAAAATTCAAATCGTACAAAACGCGCGATATTTGCGCGCGCAGTAATATATCAATATAAAAAGAGAAAAATACAAACGTTATCGAGTGTTTAATTTAACGCGTAGATCTTGATTTGAATAATTCTATGAAATATTGCATGTAACAGTCTTTTTAATTATCGTAATTGTGCGGCGTGTATTGATTGCCTTATTTTGATGACTTTCACTGACTTTAATTGTAGGTAATACATATTCTTGAGTAATTCTCGAGTAGTTTTCCGTTCTGTACATAAGTGTTTAATTTTTTGAATTTTTTTTCGATAGAGGACAACATCGATGGTCACATGGAAGTCAAGGTGGAGCCAAACCTTCAATGCTATGTCGAGGAGGAGCACGAGAGCGGCTTTTCGAGTTTGGAGAACGCCAGCGCGATACCGTCGAGCGTCGACGTGGGCGCGTTGAACCTGTGGACCAGCAAGGCTACCACCTGCCTGATCAGACAATACAAGAAGTACCGATCGATGGTCGGGCAATCGACGCAGATCAGGAGTCTGCGAGAGATGTTTGAAATGATATCGCTGGAGATGCAGAACTACGGCTTCTACTTCAGTCCGCAGAAGTGTAGAAAACAAATGGCGAGTGCTCGAGCGCAAGTACAAGAATATCGTGTCTCGCGAGCGACAAAAGAAACCCGGCAGGATGCGTCACTACGGACAGTGGGAGCACAAGCCCGCCTTGGACGAGATCTTCAACGAAACGAGGCACATGTATTTGGAAACGAACGAGCCGCAGCCGCCGTGCGGATCGGCAAAGTATCCTTTGATCTTGCCGAAGTCCGACTGTGATCAGGGCGGTAACTCACCTGGCGATCGGCAACGCGAGGATTCTTTGGCGTCCACGATCAACAAGAAGGACAATGATACGTTTAATCATCAGCGATTCCTGTCATTTGATAAATTTATTGAGGAAATAGGAAAGTACTACGCTTTGGCCGAGAAGAATAAAGAAAGGCGGCATGAAGAAAAAATGGCCGCGAAACATAAAGAGTTGGAATTACAAAAGCAGCTTCTTAAGCTGAAGGAACAGAAGATGGAGTTGCAAAAATGTCAGATGATCGCTGCCGTACAAAACTTGCGCTTGAATATGAAGTGACAGGGGTCGCCCAGATTGTCACGAATACAAAATAATTTATATGTACGTTTTTTTAATTCAATTAAGAAATATTTTATATATTTGTATGTTTTTTTGCAATTTAAATAAAAATCGATATTTTCCTGAATTATATGATTATGTAATTCGCAACATATTAACATTGAAATTTTTTATAAAATTTCTCGTTTTATTTTTGATACGATACGCTTTTCTTAGCATCATGATTTCAAACGCGTACTTTATGTTTGTATCTTCAGATGGCAGTACACGCTAAAAGCCATGAATGAATATATTTTGCTACATGCCATAATCTAAATAACATAGATATGTTGTACGATACACTTAAATTAAAAAAAATTGAGTTTATATTCAAGTAATCATGAAATACTGTTAAAGACATATCCTAAACAAAATTTCTAATCAAATATGATTCAGTGGCCGATTGTTGATAATAATAACGAACATGTATTGATTTAGGAATAACGAAAGAAATATTTTTTAAATTCTTCCAAAATTCAATATGGTTTTTAAAGAAATTGTGTTAGGTAGGTTTATTTTAGCTTGCAATGAAAAATTTCTAAATGAATATAATATTATTATTTTCATTATCATTTAAACTTGCTTGCTGCTTCTTACTTCGGCCGTAATACTTGATGGGAGGGCGTTAGTGCATGAGAAATTATTAAAATTGAAAAATTTTTATATTTCTCGCAACAATATAACGATTATTTCTATAAAATGGTATCAATTATAACCAAACATCATAAAGCAAATTGTTACATTTATTTTATTTTTTTTTATTACACACTGTATTACCAACCACTGGTGAAGGCAAATCAAGTTTATTAATTAAAAAAAGAATTGCAGCATTAAAGTATGTTGATTAGCAGAAATATATTAATAAGATAAAATATTTTCCGAAACGTGTTATAAAAATTTTTATCAAAATTTCGCATGGATTTTTATATACAATTGCGATTTTGAAAAAAACTTCTTTCACGTAAGTTCTATGTCAGAATAATGTTTATCGCTTGGCTTTCATTTAGTTAACTAAATTAATTTAAGAATGCTACTGGATAACATTTTATACAAATACGTGTGAGAAATGCGAGCGCCGTTTTATTCTTCAGAGGAAGCAACAAGCTGCATCCTGTTCCATCATGGATGGTGTCATCATGGATTATGTATGTTATGCGTCTCATCCAAACCCTTAACGATTCAATTTATTAAATGCGGCATCAAAGCATCGCATGCCGCTTTTGCATACGTCATGTCTGTATATGCTATGTATTTCTGAATGTTTCGCCCGAGAATAAAAATTTAAAAATAATTTTTAAATAAAATAAAAAAAAATTTGAATAAAATTTTTCAGCTTTTTTTTAAGCTTTTTTAAAGAGCAACGAAATATAACTTCTTGTTTGTTGTATTCGCGATGACAAAATTTTTTTATCGATTATCGTCGAATCTCTGTTATTCGTTCAGAGTTCTGTGAACCGTGCAAGTCTTTTGTCGAACCGACACAAAAAAGTCGAATCGAGAACGATGGATGCACTATACTAACGTCAATAGTACTCAAAAAAGCTTACAGCAAAAATCATGGATGGATTATTAAATTTGGAGAATTAAATTTGTCATCATTTGATTTATACTCAATTTATATCAATTGTTCATTGACGCACAGCTCCGTATGAATGATCAACTTTTAATTGACTGGGATTCGATTTCGACTCTCATTTCATATATATTTCAGTTTTATTAATTTGTAAATGAAGAAGTATATAATGATTGTGATAATCCATATCTTGAACCAATATGATCATAATATCAAACAGAAATTGTGATATAAAATAGATTTTTTTCCGATAGTCTTATTCAATTTTGACAAATTTATAAAAGTGCGATTAATCGTATGTTTAATTATTAATTAATTAACAATTAATTATCTCTTCGTAGCTTTATAATTTCAATTTTCATTATAAATTTACGTATAAATTTTTAATAAAAAAAGGTAATAATTTTATTATAAAAAATTTTCTTGCTTTATATTTATTAACTATAAAAGATTATAAACAATGATTTATAATTAATTACGTTTATTATTATAATTAATTATAAATTTTAAACCAGGAATAAATATAATTAAAGATATATAAATGATAATTATAATTATCATCGATTGATAAATATCACTATGTGCTTTTACATATGGATATAAATTCTAATTAACGATAAGCATGATATTACAATCAGCGAATACGTTTCATTAAATTCGTTTTTTCAATTAACAGTAATATCGCTACAATCCATTCATATTCATTATTTTATATTAAAAATTATTTATTTAAAACTTTCAATTGCAAGTTCTATTTAAAGTTGAGCTCTTTGTCAACATCAACATTTTATCCGAGTAATGGTATTGTGAGACATTTTTATAATTTAATATAAAATCCACTTTAGATTCGATCAAAAAATCTGTATGTTTTCCAATTATTATGTAATTTTTAAATATCGTACATATAAAAAAATTCACAATGATATATAAACGATATACAAATATGAAAACTTTTTATTCTTTGCCGTTAAAAAGCTCTCGCTGAAACGAAAACGACGTCTCAGTCTTTCTGAGAAGATTACCGAGCGCCATTATCGCTCTGAGGTAATGCGAAGATAACCACGAGTCTCGTTCTGATCATCACGAGCGTCGAAATATCGCACACGTTCAGATTAAGCATCCCGATGTACCACGCATACGTGACGTCCAACGACAACGACGCGACGAAGACGATGACGACGACGACGACGACGACAAAGGGTACGCGCAATTTTATAAAGCGTCGCGAGTACTTTTCGTGAAAAAATCGGTGGAACCGGTTACACCCGCTCACCTCACGCTCTCGCGCACACGCGTACACAGCCTACTTTACTGTTTACGCGAGAACACGTACAGGTGCGTACATACACGCGCATCTCTCCTCGCTCAATAAAGAAACAACGGATCTTTGATACTTGTAATTCCAAAATTGCAAAAAAATGCATGTCTGTAATTCGCGTCGAATCTCAGAGTGAAATCTTATTTATAATCCTATAATTTATAATCCTGGTGTTAATATTACATACGCATTAATATTACATATGTGTACATTTCTTTTTATATATGTGTATTTTTTATATATTTTGATTTTTTATATATGTGTATTTTTTATTGTTTTTAAATATTCCTTGTGTTTTACATAAGATTGCAAGTAGAATTTTGTCTCAAATTTTGACGCAAATTACAGATTTATTCAAAGTATTACGAACGAGTGATGTTTTAAAAATTTATTTCAACTGATAATATTTTGTGTTTAAAGCATAAAAAATATGATTTCAATCTAAAAATTTAAGATTGTTTATTGATTGTTTATTTGTTTATTACAAATTTTTAGATTAAACTCAAAGATTAAACTCAAATATTTAAACTAAATTATATAATTTTTTAAATTGAATTTTTATAATTTGGCTCTGATTTCCTTGTAAAATATAATACACACTTGACATATTTTTGTTATTAATTAAAAAATTATGTGACATAGGCAAATTTTT